TCCAGTGAAATATATTTATGTTTGTGGTTGTAATGTGACAAAATATGGAAAAGTTCAAGGGGTATGAATACTTTTGCAAACCACTGTATATTATCCACCTCAAAAAATATCTATACTTTATATCTTTATATCTATCTTTTTTTAATATATATATCTTACATTAATGCGTCCCGAACGGCAACATGCACCCCCACAAAAGTTGTATCAAAACAATTGGCTCAGAAGTGGGAGAGGTGCTATTAGTTTTAGTCGTGTTTTGTGTTACCATTGTGACATAAATCGCAAAAAACTACCATCAAAATCACAATATCACAAATAGCCGGGGGGAAAAATCCAACACGGCTGCCAAAAGCTAATTGTGTGACTGCTTCATAACATTCACTTCATAGCATTGGGAATGCACAGTTGATTGTATACTGTATATTAGCTTTGTAGAGACCCAATAGAGTGCTGTGTGAATGGGTAAATGAGGGCACAGATTGTAGCGTAAAGCGCTTTGAGTGTCCTGGATGGATAAAAAAGCGCTATATAAGTACAGTCCATTTACCATTCTAATGGTACTTGTTATGCCTTCTTATGCTATTTAAAGAAATTTGAGCTACATTTTAGCTGTTTTTAACAGCACGTGGCAAGCCCTTTCATAGTTTCACCAGGAACTATTCTAGTTTTAAATATTATTTTACTTCCTTTATTTTCTAATATATCTAAAACACACAATAATTTGTTATGAAAGAGGACAAAGGCAACACTGCACAGTTTTATATATACAGTGTGACTGTGTCTCAGTTCATTGGATGCATCCTCATGACTGCACGTTGTCTTCTGCAAACGTCACTGCCCCGTGTTGAGTGCTGTCCCAATTCGAAATCTCCTCAAAATGCGGCCGAGGAATGCAGCCCACAAAATCTCGAAAATCAAGGATGTATCCGAGTATCCTTTCCGTCCAAGGATATCTCAGGATTCAATGCGCCGACAGCAAACTAAACAGAGAAATGAAGATGGAGTTTTTATTCTTTTAACGAGTCAGCGTAGTTTGGAAATTAATTTCTTACCAAAGAATTTTTTTCCTTCTAAGTTTAGCAACTTAACTAATGAAATTCATGCTGCAAACAGATGCTAAATAAAATGCAACTACAAGTACTGATTCTGGAGCTAACCTTTTTTATTTATTTACATGTAGCATTTTAATTATGAAGTTATTATTCCAGTAAAAAGACAGGTAAAAACATGCCCCAACGCATTATGAAACCGCTCACTGTGGTGACAGGGTGACAACTCTCTGTAGGGAATCCTGACGGAATTAGCTGAAAGAAGTCATGCAATAATTTATTTTATTAAAAAGACAAAATTAGATAGAACTGTGATCTCAACTCATAATGAGAACAACTGTGGTTTACATGTTTGGAATCGAACGACTTTAGTATAAATCCAGAGATATTTCACAGACATAAATTAAAAGGCCCTATAGAGGTTTATGAACAGAGGTGTCAAAAGTATTCACATCCATTACTTAAAAAGAAGTACAGATACTATGGTTTAAAAATACTTTTTCGGAAGTAGAAGTATCAACAAGCTTTTTACTTAAGCAAAAGTGTAAATGTACTGGTTTTAAAACTACTTAAAGTATAAAAGTAAAAGTAATGTAATTTTTAAAAAAGCCATTAAGGGCACAAGCTTAGGCTACAACACAGGGGTCTGTAGTGCACAACCCCACCTCCCCCAAAAAAAGTTTCCAAAAGGCAATATTGACTATAATGTGTAATTAAAATTTTAATGTGTAAAAATTTGGAAAGCACTGACTAGACTACTTATTTCAGCCACATTATGTCTCAATCAAGATCATCTTCATTCAGTGTGACATGATTTGTGTCTATAAGTGTGAGGGACCATGTTAAAAACAACAGGGTGTCAGAATGTTATATATTTATAATTCTCATACAACTAAAATCAAATTCGCTATATCTCCATGTATCTGGATAGACTTTTCTTCTGACAACAAGCTTGAATAAAAACAAGCCGAAGTGAAATCGAAATGAAAGACTTTTTGCATTTTTTAAATGTAAGGAGTAKAAAGTACAGATAATTGCATGAAACTTTAAGGAGTAGAAGTAAAACATAGGCTGAAAAATAATTACTGCACGAAAGTATAAATAACCAAAAATTCTAAAGTACAGTAGAACAACATTTATACTTTGTTACTTGACACTTCTGCAAATGAACTTGTGTATTTCTGTATGCTGTGACACCATTTTGGCTCACTGTCCTCTGCAGGACCGGGCTGACAGAGTTGCCCGCTATGCCAAAACCCAGGAAGATGAGAAGGCTGCCAAGCAGGCCCTTCTGCAGTCCAGACAGGCCGAGCAGGAACCAAATAAGGAGCCAGTGCTCAGAGAGAGGAGGTAAATAATTTATGCTGATATTACTCTAAGAAAATACCTCTCACATAAACATTGAAGGGGCACTATCATGTAAAATCAACTTTTTTGAGCTGTATATTATTGTGTTAACATTATCCCCTAATCAAAAATGCACATAATGTTGCTTCGACTCATTCATGCATGTTTGAGAAATCTTGTAGTGTCCTGAGGCAGCCATGCAGGAGAACGAAAACAACTGGTTGGCCCTAGAACAGGGGTGTCAAACTCCTGTCCTCGAGGGCCGCTATCCTGCATGTTTTAGAGGTTTTCTTGCTCCAACACACCAGATTTTGATCGCTGGGTAATTAACAGGCTTCTGCCCAATTTGAAGAG